CTGAGCTTGTTCTCATGCCAGACACCAGGCTACAGAGCTCAACACAAAGGGGCTTGCGTTAGTAGAGAAAGGCAGATAAGACTAGCCTCACCAGACTGAGACTTGGGGGAGGGGGAATTGCAGGGCCTGAATGCCAGCACGCACACGTTATTTATTGTCCTCACTGTCCCTCGTGCGCGAGCCCCCTGCACAGTTCCTTGTACTTAACGGCTGCTCCATGTGAGCTGAACTGAAAGACAAGACTTTGGGGAGCAGATAGGGCAAGGGGATGGGATGAAAGAAGGGGTCAGGGGACTGGAGGGGGCTGCCCGTTAGAGGGCATGAGCTGGCTGCAGGGAGTAGCATTAGGGGTTCTGGGGCTCGCCATCCTCCTGGGCCTGACCCAGAGGCCTGAATAGCCACTTCTGCCCAGCTTCGTGCAAGCCAGGGCTCGTGTGGGTGTGGACCCTTGGCAAAAGAGCGTCTACTCAGCACCAGGGACCGGCATTTCCCTAATTCAAAATAGAAAAGGAAAACAGGTCTGTACTTGCCCTTTTTGTTGTTAGGGGCAGGGTGAAGGGAATGTGTACAATTTGTTTGACAGTAGTTTTTTTCTGTATTTCTCAGACTTTTGGTTGACTTATTTAAGCAACAAATACATATTGAAAAGCTACTTCCAAAGTTTTTTTTTTTTTTTGCGGAGGGGTGTTAAGTAATCTTTTTACAGAAATATGCGTTGCTTCGTTTTGCTTTGGGTGTTTTGCAGCTCTAACGTGTGGATTGGAATGTGCCCTTCAGTTCAGCACTTAGTGGCTGGCTCTACCAGGTGTGCCTTTGGCTAGGTCCTTTCCAGATCACAGGCTGTCACTCACCAGTGAGATGCAGTGGAAACAGAGTTCCTCTGGTAGACTCTTATGTCCCACATTGTTCAAGAGTGGAACATTCAGTTAACGGAGTGAGAGTCACAACCAGTCTGCTTGGTGTACCTACCCTCCACCATCCAGAATATTGATACAGCCCTGAACGTAAGCAGACAAGAACTCCAAGAGTTGGAACTAGAATCACAAAGCGCATGTATTTTACTCATGCATTTATTTAATGAACACATTTATTGGATGGCTACTATTTGTCAGGCATTGGTCTAATGAATAGACAGGGCTCCAGCACTCAAGGACTATATAACAAGTCTTTCCTGAAGGCCTATTACCTAAGATAAGTAACCTTTTACAGACAAATCTAACATGATAGAGTTTTATTTGCTTCTTCCAGCTCACAGCCAATTAGCTACAGTAAATAGAGAATATTTTGGGAGACTTGGTGACTAGACACAGAAATGACGGTAGAAGAAATGGAATAGGAAGACAAAGAACCATACAAAGAGATGCCAGAGTTATAATAGTCTGAACACACCAAGTTGGGGTGGGGCAGTGAGCCCGTGAATCCCAGTAGCCCCTGAGGACATCATTGCATAACATATTTCAGTAATTGATGTTCCTGGTAATGGCTCTAAGTCATTCCAGAGAAAATGGACAGTTATTGTAGTTAAAGCAGGGACAGCTATGATGTCTCCCCTAACACCTTTGTTTTTCTTTTCTTTTTAATATTTTAAGATTTCTAATCCAAATGGAACAAGCCATAGTTACCTGGGGAATTCACGTATGTAGAAGGGCTTATTCCTCTGCAAAATTACTTATATGAAACATAACTCTAGTCAAAACCGGAAACCAAACTTGTTGCTGTTGAGTTGATTCTGACTCATGGCGACCCCATGTGTTTCAGAGTAGAACTGTGCTCCATAAGGTTTTCAATGGCTGTGATCTTTCAGAAGTGGGTCACCAGGCCTTTCCTCCGAGGCATGTCTGGGTGGATTTGAACCACCAGCCTTTTAGTTGGTAGCCAAGTGCTTAACCATTTGTACCACCCAGGGAGTTTAATGAAGTCATTGTCATATATACAATCAAGAAGGAGCAACTGTCAAATGATAGACGGGAGTAAACTGTACTGAATGCACAATGAATATGAATTATATTCACGAGAATATAATTATAGATTATAATCACGAGAAGTATCCAAACAGGAGAATTGTTCTAAAATTTATTTTTAGTGATCATACATTTGTGAAAAATCACAGCATTTATCATAGTTGAAAAACAGTTTGAATAGAGTCACAGTTTATGGCCTCTTAATTCTCAGGCTGCAGATAATGGAAGGATGTGCTGTCACAGATGTGGGTGGGGTGGCATGAGTTATAATTGGCCGTCTCCATCACATCCAGCTGTTCCACAGGGGAATCAGAATGTGATGGTTCTCAGTTATTTATTTGGTGGGTAGTAACTGTTTAGAGCAAGGAGTCAACAAACTTTTTCTGTGTAAGACCAGAGAGGAAATACTTTAGGCTGTGGGTCATATCGTCTCATAATTTTACAACTAACTCAACTCTGCTGTTGTAGTGTGAAAGCAGCCATAGACAATACATGACAATAAAACTTTACTGATTTAGAGCATTAATAATAATTGTGGGAACATATGTGATACACCTGCAAATCTGTAAGGGAGCAGGAAAGGCCAAGAGAATGCCTGCATCTGCAGGTTGTCAAAATGTTGAGCTTGGATCTTCTTTTTTAAACATTGTGGGATTTCAGCTATTTGTTTTTGGTTAAAGAGAATTTAGAATTTTAGAATTTGCTGGGTGCAGGTCAGGTCCCAGCCATCCTTGGTCTGTGATCTCCTCTGTGCTTCTGCCCACTTCAGAAGGCAGGCCCACATCTTTTAATGCCTTTAGCTTGTCTCTGGCAGCTGTAATTGCCACTGCCCTCTGGAGAGCACAGGTCTCCTTGTTAGAAAATTCTGGTTGCTGGACCATCAGGTACCCCCACTCTTGCTCTACTTGGGATGGTTATTCTACATGTGTCGTGACTTCTAGTTCCCCAGCTCCCAGCACAGCGTAGCCTGTGCGTGGTGTACACCATATCCACTGTATCCCGGCGCATCCCGTCTGAATATTTGTTAAGTCGATGTTCCTTTGGACAAGTACATGGTACACATTTAACTACCTTACAGCCATTAATTCTCTGCCGCCCTGGCCTTATTCTTTCCTTATGAGTCGGTGCAACTTTTGACTCTAATGTCATTTTGAGTAGTAGTTACTGCTCTGCCCACTTAGCTTTCTGGACATGGCCTTACTTTTCGTGACTGCTCTCTGTTCAATCCAGATACTTTTTCTTTTTGGGGGTAGGGGCAGTGGAGGAAAAAGAAAAATTGGAGGGAAAGGGTAAGAATAACCCAACATGACCATTGAAAAGCCAGTCATTTCCTTCAGAGCTGCAGTCTTTGAAAAAGCACACAGAGCCAGTTTTACTTTTGAGTAATTTCTTCTGCTGTGCGTTCTCAAAGACCATGATGTCACTTGCCTGTGCTATGGGTGGCTTCTCACGGCACCTGCATCTGGTGGTGAACTTGAACAATCAGTGTTTCTGACTGAGAAGCCTAGTTGGTGATGGACCAGGCCACAGAGTTTGAGATAAAGAATTAGACGAGGGAAATCTGTGCTTGCTGTGTCTTGCAGCACATCCTGTGGACAGATAGACTTTTAGTTATTGATTCATAGCTATTTCATTACCGTCTCCAGAGACTCAAGCCGCAGCTGTTAGGAATAAAGGATGCATTGCTCAGCACTTGATTGTGAAGATAAGAGAGAATAAGTGTGTGCAGTCTGTACGCGCTCATTCATTCATTACAAGCACCTCCACTAACTTCCTCAACCCTCATGCCAACCCTGTGAGGAGGGAGCCAGGGCTGAAATGTGGAAACAAAGGCTCACAAAGCCCCACAGCCAGGTGGTAGAGAAAAGTCTTTGGACTCATTGCCCAACATTCTCTACACTTTGCCCCTTCACCTACAAGGGGATCAGCACTCAGAGAGTCTCTCATCCCTGGAAAATAAACCATTTTGGCCAATAAACATGCTGCTGTCAAGTTCATTCTGATTCACAGCAACCCTACAGGACAGAGTACAACTGCCCATAGGGTTTCCAAGGCTATAAATCTTTATGGAAGCAGACTGCCACATCGTTCTCCTGCGGAATGGCTTGTGGGTTCAAACCACCGACCTTTTGGTTAGCAGCTGAGTCTTTTAACCATTGCAACAGAACCCACTCATAACTCATGCTTAAGTTTGGCTCAAATCACCTTCTTGAAAGCATAGTGACCATTGAAGTGAATGTCTGAAATGGGGAGAATGGGCGTGCCCCTGACTCCAGCAGGATGAAGACGCCGAATTCTACTCTGTGTCACTCTTAAACTAAAGACAGCTGTGAGAGGTAATGGTCGTTATGGTCTCTGTGCAGGTGTGGCTGGAGTCTATGGGTCCTGGAGAAGGGCTCCACACAGAGAGCTTAAAAAATACCTGGCTTGTTTCAAGACTTTCCCCATCCTGATGACTGTTTGTCTTTATCATTAGCTAATGTACAGAAGTTAGAATATCTTAGTGGTTGCAGCATAACACTGGTCCTGGGTAACCACTGTTTTCCTCCTACTGATCACTGTTATTCTCAAACAGCCTCAATATCATTTTTCTAGGTTTTCCATGTTGTGGAAGCATTGGTGGTGTTAAACTGCTGAAGAAAGTTTCCTTGAGGACTTTGTTCTCTTTCTCTTAATTCATAATTTAAACACAGCTATTGAGGCACTCTCAGCACAGTAGATCCCCAACATGAGGAGACTTGGGTTCTAGTCTTGCCTCTGTGTTGGCATTCTATGTCTGCTGCTGTTGGGCAAGGCATTTAACCTTTGGAGGCTCCCTTTTCATTGTCGGTCCGGTGAAGGCTTTGGGCAAGGTGGCCCTGTTTCACAAAGGTTAAGTTAACTCTCAGGAGTTGGGAAGAGGACTCCCATTTTCAATGAACAAGATGTTTAGGCAGCTTTTCTGTAGGGGTTCCTGCACTGATACTCGTGGCTCACTTTGGAATTCTCCTTGATGACAAGACAACACCAAGTTTCTGGGTTCTTTCCTCTCTCTTCCAGATGCCAGTATGGACAGAATAGCTTATGATGCTTATCCCCACCCACCACTTCCGAGACATTGAGCGGAAACCAGAATACCTCCAGCCGGAAAAGTGCATCCCACCTCCCTACCCTGGTCCTGTGGGAACCATGTGGTTTATCCGCGACGGCTGTGGCATCGCCTGTGCCATCGTCACCTGGTTTCTGGTCCTCTACGCAGAGTTTGTGGTCCTCTTTGTCATGCTGATTCCATCCCGTGACTATGTCTACAGCGTCATCAACGGAATTGTGTTCAACCTGCTGGCCTTCTTGGCCCTGGCCTCCCACTGCCGGGCCATGCTGACGGACCCCGTGAGTATGTCTGGGCTTGTTTTGACTAGCCCACACTCTGCTCCTCTGGCCCCGGCATGGCCACAGCCTGCATGCTCCCCCTGGACCTTGGGAATGTGGAGAACAGGAGGGCCAGGGCTGGCTTGGGAAAGTGGACTCAGGCCCCACTTATTCAAAGTTCTGTGGAACTCTGGCTAGGAGAGGGGGCAGCATCCATATCCCAACCTATCCTTCTTGGTTGACTGATACTGTATGTACATTGAAGCTGCTGTGGGAGGGGTTTGGTCTCCGGGAAACCTAGCCTCTAGATAGAAAGGTGCTGTCAGATAACCATGGAGATGGGCCAGAGCAGAGCAGAAAGCATGCTGGAGGCATGGGGCCGGTTGGGTTAGGATGGGACTTCCCAGTGAAGATAGGACTGGAGCTAGGTAGATTTGAAATTAAAGCCATATCCAGTTCCAGGAACCTGCATGGAAATGGCCTTCACTTTGTTTGGGTGAGGCTCATCTTTTCCTGAAAACCTAGACAAGCCTGTTTCAGGCCACAGCAAGTGCCTCTTGGTGAATATCTGTGGGTAAAGCAGTGGTGTTCCACTCGATGACTTAGCTAAATACACCAAGCTGTGCAAGTGGCTATTGAATGTTTGTGCACCCTAGTATTAAATCCTCATCCCTCTTCATTATCTTGTATGGGAAGAGCAAGAGACTATGTTATTTGATAAAGACCTCCTGTGGCCTAATTGTTTCAGTGCGTGGGACATCTGTGTTTAAATTAAGAAAGGGAAAGCAAGCCAGCACTGCTAATGGCACTGGCCCCACCAGTTTCGTTTCTGTGAGCCCCAGGGAGCGCTCAGTAAAGATGGTAGGGTCCTGTGCCAGTTCCCTGCCTTCTCAAAGGGCTCCATGTCCTGCTGCTTCAGGTGGTGGATTTTTAATCTGTCCCAAGGGAAGGCAGCTTTCCCGGGTCAGTTACATGTCAGCCACTGGTCCAGACAGCACCTCTTCTCATGCACGTGCCTCGGGGAGGAGCTCACACAGCAACAGGCAGGGGACTATTGGCCCAGTGTCAGCACCTCTTATGGGGTCATTGACCAGCCATCACCTGAAGGAAATGAAGTACCTAACTATAAAAGTAGGTACTCCAAAACACAAGCGTATAAAGAGTTTTCCCAGCAAATTCAACTTGGTCATACTGAAAACAAGTTAAGGATTGATTCAGAAATTTTTATGGGGCCCTTGCTACTGGGGACACAGGAACAAACACATTATTTTCCTCAACTTCTGTTTTCTGCTAAGTCCTAGGCATTGTTCCTACCCTCAAGGTGTCTGTGTAGAGGGGAAGACAGGTGAGGCTAGCCCGTGTGAAGGCTATGGCAGAAGAAGCACAGGTTGCTGTGGGAGAGCAAGGGAGGAAACAATAACCAATCTAGGCAGGGGTGGCTGTGGTGGCAGGCTGCCTGGAGGAGGTGATCCCCAACCAGTCTCATCTGAGCAGTGGAAATTGGCAGGGGAGGTGGAGGGCAGTGAAGTTGGAAGACAGCAACAAGATTCCATATAGAGGGAGCACAGAGACACAGAGGAATGTGGGAGTGTGGCTCCTCTAGGGAACCAGGAGCTATATGGAATGGTAGCAGCTTAGGACGAAAATGGCTGTGGGTGGTCGTGTGTGTGGGATAGCAAAGGAGCCCTGGTGGTGCAGTGGTTAAGTGCTCGGCTGCTGCCGAAGGTCAGTAGTTCAAACCTACCAGCCGCTCCACGGGAGAAAGATGTGGCAGTCTGCTTCTGTAAAGATTGCAGCCTTGGAAACACTATGGGTCAGTTCTACTCTGTCCTATAGGGTCACTATAAGTCGGAATTGACTTGTCGGCAATGGTTTTTTCTTTTGGAGGGCAGGATACCAAAGTAGGGTGCGGGCCAGAGGACGAAGGGCAGCATGGAGCTCTTGAGGATTTTAGACCAAACAGTGAGAAGATCCAATGTCAATTTACAAGGACCCCTCTAGTAAGAATGAGAAGGAGCCCTGGGGGCACTGATGGATGGAATGAAATGGGTGGCTGTGTTTATTGAGTGCTACTAGGTGAGAGGTTGGAAACCCTGGTGGCATAGTAGTTAAGTGCTACAGCTGCTAACCAAAAGGTCGGCAGTTCGAATCCACCAGGCGCTCCTTGGAAACTCTATGGAGCATTTCTGCTCTGTCCTATAGGGTCACTATGAGTCAGAATTGACCCTACGGCAACAGGTAAACAGGTAGGTCAGAAGCTCCCTTCTGGGCAGTGGATACAGCTGTGAGCAAGACAGACAGAAATCCATGCCCTCTTGCAGCTCCCATTCTAGTGGAGCAACGTGCACAGTGAAGACTTTTTGAACAGGTAAATTCAGAAATTGTGGTAAGTGCTTTGAAGACAGTAAAACAGGGTGATTGATGGTGACCTTCCTGGAGTGGGGCGGGGAAGGGAGGGAAAGGACTACTGTAGATCAGGGAGGGCTGGGAAGGCCTTTCTGAGCTGGTGCCATTGGTGCTGAGACCTGAATGACAGCAAGCAGCAAACCAGGCAGAGGGAGTTCAGTGAGGCAGAGGAGAGAGCAGGTACAGAGGCCCAGAGACAGGAACGCTCTCAGCATGTTTGAGACACAGGACTAAGACCAGTGCAGCCACAGCACAGTGAGTGTGGGCTGTAGAAGAGGCTGGCGAGGGCTGCAGAAACTAGATCATGCCAGACCTTGTAGACCTCCCGAGGACTTTGGTCTTTATTCTAAGTGCAGTGGGAAGCCGTCAGAGGGGCATGATGTGATCTGGTTTTAAAAAGAGAATGGATTGTGCAGGTGATCGGGGCTTGGAGTGGGTGAGTGAAGCAGGGAGAGGAGAGTGGTCCATACAAGAAAGAGATGGTGGTAGCTTCAACCAAGGGGGAAGCAGTAAGGCTGGAATATGTTTTGGGCCAGTAGTTCTCATGCCTAACTGTACAGTAGAATCCCCTGGGAGCTAATCGTAGAATCGACTAGACGGCAGTGGTGGGAGCTTTTCAGAAGTACTGATGCCTGGGCCCTGCCCCCAGAGATTCTGTTGTAATTGGTGTGGGGCGGGCCCTGGCTATTGGATGCTTTAAAGCTCCCAGGGGACTCTCCTATTCAGCTGGTCAGGGAACTGCTGTTCTGAGAGCTGACAGAATGGAGATGGATGCAGTGTGCCTTCCAGAGCCTTGGCCTGAGTAGCTGGGGCATTGGTGGTGCCATTTACTGAATGGAAATGTCTGGGGGGCACAGATATGGAAGAGAAATCAAGACTTCCGTTCTGTCTAGTCTACATGACATGCAAGCAGAGATGCCAGGTGGGCAGTGGAAAGTCACGGCCGGGCTTGTGGAGAGTCAAGGTCAGAGAGTGGACTGGCAAGTCATTGGTTTACGGAAGGCCTGTGAGACCAGGGCGAGGGGAGGAGACTTCTGCTGGGCATTCCTGCTGCCCTTGCACAGTGTGTTCTTGGACACCCCATATGGAAGCATGTGGCCTCTCGAGGGACCCCCTCCATCTGGCCACTTGCAGTTGGATGCTGGAGAGCACAGTTCCCACTGTGGTGTGTGGCTCAGCTTCCAGTCCCAAACGAGTGAAAGCTAGACTGTACCCCAAACACCAGTCCGCTTCTCACAGGTCTGTTTTGCTGGTGGCTCCAAAGACAACTAGACAAAAGATGAAGACTTCATCAAATATCTCCCACTAGTAAGGGGAGCACCTCAAAGCGTGCCCTACACATATGCCCATCTCTGGGTGTGCTGGCTTCCTGTGGCCTCCTGTGCCACCACCTGCCTCTCCTCATCTCCCGCATGTGGCATCTTATGCAAAACCCAGTGTATAAAACAGAAGTGGAGCTGCGGAGGAGGGAGCCCCTGAGGCCTTACGGTGGGGCCCTGGACTTCCAAGGAGCACAGTTGGCCGCCCAGATCCCATGTTATAAAGCAGATCTATTAGGGGCTCATTATTAACGCTGCAGGGAGAGTCTGTTTTTAGAAAGGATTCACTGCAGGGTTCTAAGGCATTCCCTAATGGGATTATGATGTTTTGTATCTCAAGAATTCACGTTGTGCGTAATTTTTAGAAAAGCTGGCATTGTAAGGTTATAAACAGTGTATGCACTGTATATCATTTTCATTAGCCTTACTAGTAAAAAAATTAATCTCTTACGGTTACTCCAAATAGCTTTACTACTTCCGGCTTTGAAATTCTTATTCCAAATGTAACATCGGAACAGTTGTGGCCACCACAGCTTTCTGAACCGTTTAGTAGTCATTTACTCCAACGCAGCACGTGGAGCTCAGGCAGCACAGGGAGGAGGGAAATGACTCACAGTGCGTACCAGCCCCTTGGAGGTGAAACTCCCGTTTAAGAAATCACATACAAGGGTAGGCCTATAAGCAGAGGGAGGAGGATAGATGGACAGAGGAGGGGGCAGACATGTCACATGGCCGTGGGCTGGCCTGGAGGCAGCTCTCATGGGGAGGCAGGCAGGTCTGGCTGGTGCTTGTTCTCCTTGCCAGTCTGAATGGGGTATGATGTCATCAGAGGAGCACTCTGTGTTCCTGGGACACTCCAGACACTCAGAGGTCCAGAGTGGCTCCACTTGCCCTGAGGAAGTAGCCTCCTGAAGACAACCTGGACTCAGGCGCCCTTTTCTAGGTACCCCTCTCTCTTCCTCCCCCGACTTCACCGCCTGTTCTTTCCCAGTTACAGTACATTTCAGTACCTCATCTTGTGAAATCCCATGTGAGGAATTCCCTTTAAAATTGAGCTCTGGGACAGTGTCTGTCTCCCAGAGGATGCTAAGAGCTAGAAGACAGCTGGTTTCCTTTTGTCCTGGCTGCCAGGAAGCACAAAACCAAACATTTGCTTAATTACAGCAATTGTGTAAGCCCTTATAATCAACATATTTTTGCCCCTCCTTTCCTTGGTCCTAATTGTCTATTAACATCATTGTAAATTATCTGAGATTTGGGAAAAGGAGGAATGTAAATTCAGTTTAACCACATTGT